GCATCGAGAAAAACGATACTCCCTTTGGGCGTTGTTTTTCTAGTCTTCACTAGAGGGCATTGTCTGTTGAGTGCGACCGTCTGCATAGCACAGCAGGTATAGAGGTGTAGCAATTCTTTCCTGGTCGACTCCTAGGGCGAGGGAAATAGCCTGCCATAATCAGCCTCAGTTCACCAGAATACAATGAAACCATTGGGGCGATTATTGTTAAGACTGTCAGTTCCACACCTCGCTATCAAGGCAGGCCGTAAACCTGGCCTATTGTTGGTTTTTCCGATTCAATTTTCACGGCAATAAATACCAAATAGACGACCTTGTCAAAGACACATCATGTTGGCCTAATATGATCTTTAAGGTTTTTTTATATGTTAGTTAAGTAGGCAAGGTATATTGATGATTTGTCGGGGGATTAACAATGTAGACTTGATTAATCCAGTTATTGTTAACAATAAAGCTTTAATGTCTGTTCAATATACTATTACTGTATTTTCTAGACGCACATTATTACATACTCTATAAACAAAATGTATATTTAATTGGATTCTTTTAATCCAGTTAGAAAAATAAATTGATTCTTTGCTATTTAATTCAATATCTATATGCACTCTGCTCTAGAATAACTGTTGTTGCTTGATATACCATGTATACTTTTTTTTTAAAATACAATTAAATTCTTGTTATGAGGGTGATATAACATAGTGATTATCCGATTGCAAACTTGCCCACTCACTGATTGAAAACTTGCCCACTCACTGATTGCAAACTTGCCCAATCCAGTCTTTAATTATATTAATGTGAAATCTATCATTATGTTTTAATCGTACGATTTTTTTTTAATGCTTTGATTTATCATATTGTATGTTACTCAAGGCCTATAGAAGTGATCTATCATACAGATATCACCATATTGCTAGTGATATTTTATAAAAAGCCGGAATGACATCCAATCTTTATCAGATTTTGCATGGATACGATTTTCGTCTTTATCTTCCACTTTAAGCTTTGTATGCCATATATTAATTTAGCTTGTCTTTCTAATAATTCACCGCAATTCTTTGTACAAATTTCCTGAATGGCCTTGTTAGTCCGTCAGCGCGATGTAGCATGGACAAGCTGAGATCTGTACAGGTTAGTTCTGATGGATGGGTATTTTAACTAAAGCTGACAGCTAGACCTACTTGCTCGGCAGTGAGGAAGTCACCGACTGGAAGATAATGAATTTTAGTAAGAGTGGTCTCTAAGAAAGGGTTTCCTACTCGTTCTCGGAAGCCGTGGAATCAGTGGTCAGAGATGTACGGCTTTCTTTACTTTAACATTTATTCATCAACCAGTAATGCTCTCTAGATATTTCATTTACCGGTTACTGTTATCCTCACTTCGTCAAGATTATTTACAGAAACCAACAATATGCAAAATTAGGATCATAAAAAAAATGATCTGAAGTAAGAAATAAAAACAGTCTTCAGCTTTAATTTCAGTCACAAGAATCATCCAATTTGGCAAATTTAATTAAAATAATAGATTGTTTTTCAAAATTCTAAACTTTTTGTTGATATTTTGTAATTAGATTGATTAATAGCATCATGCTTTTGGCTGTTTTTGTTGATCTTCTGTAAGTAAGGAAATAAAAAGGTTTTTAACCAAACAAAATTTTATGTATAAATTAATTGATGTTGTACAGGAAGTGAGTACTGCTCTCTAAAGCGCAGTTTTATCAAAATTCAGTTGATATCGTGAGAAAATGTTGGCATGAAAAGAAAAAGCAATTTGCACTCTGGATTTCTCCAATTTTCTAAAAGATAACAATCTGGATTTGAAAGTAGAATTGTGGGTAATCACTTCTTTAAAACACAAACACTGTTAAATCCACTCTTATTTTCTTCGAGCCTGTATTAAGGGTTATTTTTAGCTGTAATTGAATGATGGAGTATTCGTATTGTGCAACTTGCTATCACTGAATACACATATCCGTCATTTTCATCCATTCACCACCCAGAACACTTGTAAATTACGTAAGGAAAATTGACAGTTCCTAAATAAAAATCAACCACTTGGCAGCGCATCTATTGCTCAGAATGAAATCAGAGATTTTTGAGGCATGTAGCGATCGGCACTTGTGGATACATGGTTTGACAGCTCCCTCAGGCAGAATACACTCTGAATGGATTACTTGTTATGAAGCAATATTTATCAGGGGAAATAACCCACAAGTGTTCAGTTTCAAGTGTGGTCAGATTCTTGAAGAATTTGGATCAGTTTTCTCAAGTTTTTCTTCAATGTTTTTTTAACCAGTCCCTAATCACATTTCAAGCTCTGTAAATTAAATCATATTGGTGGAATGGGCTAAATATATTAGATTTTCCCGCTCTTTGTGTTCATGTAATCTGGTAAAATATACGATTACGGAAATGAGAGGACTGCGTTTAAGTTTAGAATCGAGAGATTGCGTGATTATAACTAAATTGTACCTATGACCAAAGTGCGACCTGGGACTAATTTCTACATATAGCAACATCTTCACTCAAACTAATTGATTTAAATCCAATTTACAAGACCTAAATCAAATTAACCAGTGCACCCATTTTCTTTTATCACTATTTCACAGCCATTCCAGTGAACACCAACATTTTTTAAATTCTCACCTTTTTTTTTTTAAGACTAGGAATTAAAAAACACTTTTCACCACCTTCTAGAAGTTAGTCTAAGTTTATGTCTTCTCTATCCTAAGTTATTCCACAAATTAAATAAATAAAAGAATTTATATACATAGATAAAAGTAAGCAAGAGAGTAGCTCGGGGAATAATTAGTTATATTAACCAATGTAATGGTAAAATACATCAGATGTTTCCAGCTGCTGGCCCGACTTGTTATCTTTGCCTTTCTGATCCTGGAAATTTTCTCAACAAAGCCTCACTTTGTTACCATCTAAACATCCAAATAGATACATTATGGTGTGATTATCTCTAGCTCTGTTTAAATCTAAGAACCCGATTGCCAGTTAATGCCGGCAAACTGCTTGCTTTGTAAACAATCTTGCGGCATGTTGCATCATAGGCGATCTCTTTAGACTGGTGATTATTTGTCCAAGAAATTAAATTTGTTGGCTCAGCCTCTCTCTATATTAGGATTCCAGTGTCCCCTGCAGCATCAGCCCTTCTAATTGTTCAAATGATATCCTATTGAGTAGAAATTGTTTTCACAATTTGCCCCAACAGTAGAATCTATTTGTTCGACTTGGAAAGGCTCATCTCTTAAGAAGATTCTTACACAATACGATTGATTGAGAACAATAGATATTTGGGGTTTCAAATCAGTAAAGTTAACCTGTTAGTGTTTGAACAGACCGACAAAGCACACAAGATTTGTTAAATCAAATAGCTTGTCTTTTGGTTGGAGATATTTGAAGTATTGTTAATACATCTGTCAGCATATAGACAAATAATAAACTATCATTACCAATTAATCACTTAATCTAATTTCATTTTTTTTTATGTCAATATGAACAAACGTCCTAATAATGGCCACTTCCTTGCATATTAAATAATTTATTTTATCAGTTGGTTTGCCGTTATGAAGACTTCTATCTAACCTCGTCGGTACTGCTTAAGACCCGTACATACAAGTGAATTATTGAGTGGATGTTAAATCCTATCTCTCTCTGTCTCTCTCTTGAAAACTTTTAATATCTCAGAAATGATGGGATAGTTCTTTACATATTAAAAACCAATCTGATTAAAATACAGATCTATATTTTGTTTCGTTTTTTTTATACTACATGAAGATCTGACAAAGTTGTACTCGAAGGTCGTACGAACGGCTTTTGACCCTATGACGTCAGACATTGATTAATCAATCAGTGTTGACGTTTGTAGTGGTTTACGCACAGTTCCATGCATGGCACGCCAAGAAGTCGCTGTAACAGACCATTTCATTGGCTTATCCCTCACTTCAACCAAACTGCTGGTAATATAACAACTCTTCAAATCCTACTGTAGTAAAGACAAGTAAAACGAAATTTTGAACTATAAAAAAAAACGAAACGAAATAGGATCAGTGATTTAATCAGATTGATTAAAAACAACTCTGATCAGTTAGTTTTCTTACTTACAAAGGTTAAAATATAAGTTAATCTTTTAATTATCTATAAGATATATGTAGGAATGAAATTGTATTTTTTTTTATACGCCCACAGAGACTGTATGAAGTGGGATCTAAGCATATGGTAGTATTATTGCTGTCAATACCACACGTAGCTCTATTATTCTACTTCAACAAGATAAGGATTAAATGATACAAAATTATCACTTTTACTCACATTGTTGGAGTTTCTGGAGCAAATCAGTTCATTTAGAGATCAATATTGGAAAAAAGCTGGCCATATTTGTAATACTGGAGTTGTGCAGAACAAAAATGGGCCATGCCTTTTAAATCATATAGGCGTTATTATAATCCCTTACTATAGATTCGGTGACGCGGAACAGCCAGGCATGGAAATAGAGAATAGAAGTCTTTCTACTCTCCAAATTCTCATTCTATTAAGGTTGAGTTTCTTTTTTCCTGTTTTATTCAATATTGAATATCTCTTTCTGATAATTTGTCACTTGGCTTCACACCAAACTAGGCATTGTTGTACGTTCAAGGCCTGCACATGCCACACATTAGACAATTTACATCAACTTTTCTGCTTCACAAGTCCTCCACTAGTTTCTTTGTTGTTGGCTTTTTTTCTTTCCCTTTCATTTTTCATCGCGACTTGTGATATTTTTTTTTTATTCCTGAAAAATTAAAATCATAATTTCATCTTGGTCAAAGGGAATTAAGGATTTAAATTTTGTGAATGGATAATTATAGTGGATAATTAATCATGATTAATGTTATTTGCATAATTGGAATCATGCAATTCAGAAATATTATACAATATGGATATCAAATTAATGTTGCATGCTTTTGTTGACCCAAGATGTCCAAAAATTTTATTTTATTTTAATTTATTTTTCAGGTGATGGTTTGGATAATAGCCTGGGATCAGGGGAAGGGTCTGAAGATGAAGAAAACGGTGATAGAACAAAACGCTCAAAAAAGCGAGGAATATTTCCAAAAGTTGCAACAAATATCATGAGAGCATGGCTTTTTCAACATTTGTCGGTAAGAAATCTTATATAATATGATATCTGTATTTCATCATTGGCCCTATTCCTGCAACCAAAAATCAAAGTTTTTCACATAAGAGTAAAGAGTAAATCAAATTTTAAACTGTTCTGGGGAATAAAATAATAGATTTTTCATTGAACAATAAAATAAGAACAGTTTCTGATATTTAATTAGCATAGATAGACTTATAACTAATACCAATATTTTCAAATGATACAGATAGTAGTAGGTTTTTTAATTACACTATTAAAAGCATACAACCTTCAACAAGATTACATACAAAATACAGTTACATCTTTTCCCTCATCTTTCGTTTGAAGTCTTTTCAATTATTTTGTCGAAAGTTTTTTACGGTAATTTATCATCATCAGACTTATTATTCTCTGACATGCTAACTTCAAAATTGGTCATAATAAGAGCATTATGTGGAGTTTAATATAATCCCTTTCGATACTTGTATCCACAAAATATCCTTGATTCTTTGAGATGGGGATAAACAACTGTCTCTTGTTTGATGGAGAGAATCTCTTTATGCGTCAAATGTGTGTGAATCAGGGGCTGTGCTCACAAGGCCAATGATATTTTTCTATTAACATTCATGACTTCTAGGCCGATTGACTTGCACCAGAGCTGGTAATCGAAAATCGGCGATTATCATTTTTCTGTTAAGATGATAGGGATACGAAATGGAATTATTTTTCACTGGCTTGAGCTTGATAATTTTCTACCTTCTTAGATACAAGAATTAGAAAACGAATTAAAAGCCTGGAGCGTTAATGAGAAACTTGGCTATGATTGGCATCCTTGGCTAGATTTGGAGAAATGTGTTAGTTTTCCGACTTTATCAGAATAAAATTCGTGGCTCAGAGGATTTGTGTGACAGCCCATCACTGTAACCCTAGCAGATAGAAAAACTTTTAATAAGCTTTTTGACAAGTGGGAAAAACAAAACTCGGCTCAAGTTGGAAGATAATTTTAAGTGTTTTTTCCGCCTGGGATTTTCTGTAAATGTTGAATAAGATATCAATAATTTTCAACTGTAGCGTAACCTGGATCACCGACATGTCGATGTCTCGGAGACTAGCGAAACTTGAAACTTGTCGCACTGTTATCGATAATCATTATTCATAATAACAATCCATAAGTGTGTTCATTTGCATAAATTTTACTATACAATAAATGCTGAAGCTGTTAATATCACTTGCTAGGTATTTACACTATTTTAGAACGAAAGTGAAAAAAAAACGCATTTGAAAAAGTCATCTGCTTCAAGGGTATTGGATACAGTGATTATATTGGATTGATATGAGAATGGTATTAATGATATTTATAAATAGGAAGATTATTGGATATAAAAGTATTGTGGCCCGATATACCCTTACAGAATATATTGATTAAAATCAAAGAATACCTCCGCTTTTGTCCTGTCTATTTTTTGCTCTCAATACCTTATTTCCTCGAGCTGAGGATCTGTCTCATTCAATTTTATGATCGACTTGATTTTAATAGTTGGCAAGGCGTGTATTTTTGTCATATCTATATTAAAGACATGGGTGGCACCTTTGGTGTTGGATAAAAGAAACAGACACAATATTATAACAGTAATAGCCTATTAATGAACACTTGAAGCGTGATCTAATTCTACTAGCAATTCATGTGCAATTGCAAACAAGATCTGTTGAAACATATAATATGATTGAATAAATATAGCTACTGAAAAACAACTCTAAAAGATTTCATAGCTGAAAAAGATTTTTCTCTTAAAATAGGAATATAATGGAAATCTGTAAATAGGAATAAAAAGGTGTATTAATATATTTTTCAATTTTGCTAAAAATTATCTTTTTTTGGATTAATATCTAACATGGACATCAGATATAATCATTTTTGTTTTTCGTGATATCCAAGAGAAAATTTCAACTTTTATAAGAGCCATAGAATTTAGAGCTCTTTTTTTTCATCGAGAAAGGAATTTTCGCTTGAATGGTTGGTACCTCGTAAGCTGTGGGTATGATCTGTCTCACACCTACCGGACAGACTGGCGTATACCTTCACACATAGAGGCATGAAAATATTGATCAACTCATTATAGTGTGCTCAATGTTCTCAAGCCTTCGCTTCCATTGTCATTTATAATTCAAACGGCCTTTTACAGCTTCCCATAACATTAAGAGACTGACTGTTTGCCATCTCTGTATAATAAGATAATACTATTTATGTCTTGATTATTTATGGATAGCTGTAGACTAGGACATCTAGATTGTTTATAAATATGTCAATGCATATGATGGAGTCAGTCTCTTGATTTTTGTGCGATAACTGATTTAAATCTTTTCCAAGTGGGTTATTAATTAATATCTTAATGATATCTATCAATAATTAGTATAGATGTACTAATTAATGATTTGACCTAATTTAGTTTATTGGCCATCAAGTATGTGGTAAAGGGTGCAAAGCTTTCTAAAGTTTTATCTTGTCAAAATCAATCGAGATGGACATTAAGAGATGTACATACGATTCCTTATACAACTATGCTGTCTTTTATGATTATTATAATGGGTCTTATTCAAATATTTGTCAACCATCAGCCATACTCCCATTATATGAAACCTCATAAAGGTCAACTTTTTGGAAGGGTTAACAGTGAATGTTTTTCCCAATTATCGTTGTGTATCAGTTGATTTGTTATCACGCAACCAAAAGTGATCATCGGCCTCTCTAAATGGTCCATTTTCACCCATTTTGGCTTTTGGAATAAACAGTGAAAATGAAAATAAATGCTTGACTTGCCATACGAGAGGAACAATTGTCCGAATTCATCTGCATACTCGGCAATAAACAATCTACTTAGCCACCAGTGTTCGGCCATAGTTAATCCCATTTTGACTTAAGGCTAGGCAGTAATTTGGCTAACAGGATCGAGCAGTCTTGCACAGATAAGGCAGAATTCAATTTACCAAGGAAGGGAATATAATGCAAATCATACCATTATGAGCTATTTGGTTCATCACTGGAAGACCTATATGTCTCATAGCTTTAAATTGTTTAGAGCTTCAGGTACCTAATTTGATTAAAACCCAATGAATTGCCATGAATTAGGCCTCTGTTTAGCTCTATGATCAAATTTTATCCAATTTTCGTCCATTTTCTGATAATTTTCCCTGACTCAATGAAAGAATATTATAAAATGGGCCATAAATGTTTGGAATTATCCATATAGTGATTATTATTCACGATTGCTATTTACTTTTTCTCTTTATCTGCCATTAGGCCATTAGTCAGTCATACTTAAGATAAAAACGTAGACCTCCCGAATAATGTTAATATTGATAATCGTTATGAAGCCACCCATAAAAGTTTCTGTTAATTTAAACTGGCTCTAAAGTGCTACTTTTGTACATTTTATATAGTGATAGAAATCCATTATTTATTTGGGTTCAAGAAATTGAATTAAACCTTTTATAATTGTACTTAATGCCCCTTTGATTAGGGATAAAATTTATTATACATTTAGTGTAAGAATTAAAATATAATCGGATGACGTCTTAAATACTTGTTTTTTTTAAGCCATATAAATTTATCATTTGTTGGTAATCAGTGGATTAAGAGAAACATTTAAATCGAGATCGCATGTTTTTAAAACGTAGCAAAAAATATAATCTTCAGTTTTAGTGTTATCGCAAATTATTACGATGATTGAATTTGTTGCAGCTGTACACGATACATTATACTGTTTTAATATTCTTCCTCCATTGTTTAAGTTTAATAGTTTTAATTCTTTTTCAAACAGAATTCTTACAAAGGTTCTGATTTGTGCAACAATGATACATTGGGGGAAAAAATGTTATTGCATTACCTTTAATAAAGGTCTCTCTTACAATACGAGATATTAGAATGAAAGGGCTCCATTAGCCTGGTGTAGAATTTCATGGGGAAAGAGAAAGGCTATGAGACGGTCGGAAATGAGACAATGGCTTAATACTCAGATCAGTGTCATAAGTACATACTCTACTCGAACATGCAAAATAACCATAACATGCTCAAAGTGATAATTTGTTGAACAAAAGAGATAGTTTCGTGTATTAATCAGACCCTTATCGTAAGGTGGGCGGAGTTGTACAGTACAAAACCTTTAATGGCAAGTGACTTTAGAATTGTTATCAGACCGTTCTTTAATAATTGCTATATATTTATTTTCGTTATTTTTCTATCTTTGAAAAAAGTTATACTGGCATATCTGCATAAGAACAAATTAAAATGTCTTTTTTAGTGGGTTAGGCATACGTCCATGGCAGCAGAGAAAACGTGACCTCAGTGATAATAATACCATGTATGGATGTCATATGATTATCAGCCATATTTAAAATACACTCGTAATGAATGATCACATTTTAAATACAAGACTGTTCATTCATCAACAGATTCAAAACTCCTTGCTCAGAGCAAGCAATTAAAGAGATATTTACGAAAATAGATTCACTGCCTTGAAATTATTCATACAGTATGTTGATTAATATAACCACGAACACTATGGTCGCATGCATATTTGGGTTGACCAGGGTAACATAGTGGCTAGATTAAATTGACCACAGAGATGATGCGGGTGGTATATGGGTCTTAATAGTGTCACCGATCTAACCTTGACTTAAGTTAGTGTCAGGCCATTGTCCAGTTCAGCAGGCCTCCTAATGAATTGACCAATACTTGGAACAAATGACCTATTGAGTTAAAGACTGTCCCCTACTAGTTGCTAGTCAAGTTGCTTGGCTGGAGTTTAATTACTTTATGGGCTTATTGTTTACTCCTGTAGTTTCCTCACATCACTCAAATTTATTATAATTTCACTCTCTCCTGGTTCTCCCAGCAAAAGAAAAAACATCTCAATGAATGGAGTAGTTTTAATTCAAATTTTTTGTTAGAAAAATCTTAATTGTGATGGTTTGGAAATTTAGATTCTATTTTTTTCATTAGCTTTAAGAGTAAAATGCTCATGA